TCAAATTAAAACACGTGCTACACCGGTTCCCACCATTTCTGAGGGTTCAGGACTGTATTATCCCTAACACAGGCTATTATGTAGCCTAGCTGGGAAAACAGCACTCAACCACGATATTATTGTAGACTTCTAATTGTAACACAAACTCATCATAATAAATGTAAAATTGTGTAAACCTACAATCTCATTTATACAATAAAAAGTTATTATTATTATTATTAGGTAGGCAATAGGCAATGGCGGCCTGGTCGCAAAAATGCGATCGGGCCGCAACATATTTTAAGGATGGGGCCGATAGGCGGGGAGCTTGCCGCTTTACTCGGCGCGGTGTCGATCCGGGGGGGACCTGAAGTAACATGGTCCGGGTCTTCCTCGGAGTAGGGCGCCTAAGTCCGGCCGCCGGGATGGTTTTTAGTGCAAACACCACACACTTTTGTCTCCTACATCCCCAAGGAGCCGGAGATCCGAAGGGATTTTCCACCACGTAAACAAAAAAAAGTACACATATTGCAACCAAAGTGCATGATACAAAAAGATAAAGTTTGTAGTGGGTTAAATAACCAAGTAGTGTCTACATGAACGGCGGTAGTCACTTATTTTCAAATTTTATTCTATTAATTAAAGAAATAAAATAATTAATTATTGTTGCATTCATTTTAAAATGTTGTAACTTAACAAAATAAGTAACCATTGGATTCCATAAGTTTATGTTTTAGAAGAACAACGTTGTGCGTTGTAGGATTTGAGTTGTTATGTTATATTTATGTATAAATAAAAATAAAATAACAAAATACACTTTCAAGTATTATAAGTAGCTTAGAATATATTCCAAAACAGATGAATAGAAAGAAAAATTTGATGAATATTGTTTTTATCAAATTCCTTTTATGTTTTTTTGCAAGTTTTAATGTTAAAATTATAATTTCCAGGAATCCAACTCCGGATGAATCACAAGTGCAATGGAAATATTACACAGAAGAAAAACAAGATTATTTGGAGATTGGCAACGAGTTCGTCCCCGGCACTGCACCTGATGAGGATGAGCTCAAGTTCTGGGACAGTATATATGAAGAGTCTGGACAGAAACCTTACTGATCGTGTAAATAGGATGTCAATTGAGGCATTCCTTCCAGACTAAGATAAGATAAGATAATTTCCGAAGGTTTTGAAGGTCTTGTTTTATTTCATTGACCAGTATAACTTGAGCTAGCTCTATGTAGACTTTTGTACAATGACAGTTCAAAATGTATACTCGACTCTATGTAGCAGTTTTAATATAATTTTCAACCTTATAGCACATATTGTTTTAAAGAGCGAGGTGATTTCCGCACAGAAAAAAAAGGTGCTTGTTCATGACCATCGAGGTACCAAGGATATCCTTCCCGAAGGCGTGCGGTTTTAGTCGGTTCGAGTATGAGATAACAAATCTCATACTCGAATGGTTTTCGTCGATTTTGGAAAAATAAATAATGATATAAAAAAAACCTGACGTAACGTATTGCTTGTTTATCTTGACAGGCGCTAATCATTTTATCAAAAATTTAATATTTTGAACGATTTATTCAAAAACTTAGTACTCATTACTAGTTATATAAGAATAATACCTTAACACATTCTCACACGCGGCATTCTGAGGGCCTGTGAGAATATTTCAAATCAACTCTATCGTCACGATGACGCGATTGCGATTGGCCCGCACCGAACTCTTCACCAATAACAACGCAGAACGGTGTCACCGCGACGGTCGAGTTGAAGTGAAATAAACTCACTCTAAACCCGCTGATCCCAAATTAGTCAGTGCTATGGTAAGTATGGTGTGATTTCGCTCTTTCCACTTGAATCCCAGCACTTGCTGCACTGACTCAATCCCACAGGGGATTGTACAACATTCAGTATTGCACTTCGCTACCACAGGAGATTACACAACACTCAATATTCCACTCTGATCCCCTTTTTTTCTTTATGAAAATCCCCGCGGGTATCACCTACCGGTGTACCTTAGGAAGGAAATCTCTGGTACCTCGGGCTATATACGACTTGTAGTGTGATGACCCTATAGTGTGTGGGAATCACGGTATTCCCATTCCATTCGTACGTAAACGCAAATATCACAGTCGGTCATTTTATGATTAAAATGTTTAAATAAATTAAACTATATTTGACATTTAATCAGTATTTTGTTTATGGTTTACAAAGAGTGTGAAAGTAAGTTTATGTGTATTTTTTTATATCTAGAGGGGACTAAAAAGGAAATAAATTTATTAGTACAGTCAACGACAAAAGCTGATGTTTAAAAATGGATTGTCAAAACTACTGAACGATATTTGGAGCAAAACTAGGTAGTGCTACAATGTTACAAAACTAAGTAATTAAATAAAGTACCCATAAGTTAGCTGATTGAATTGTCAGCAAAAGTTGTCAATCAAAGTCGTTTCAAAATAATTAACTGATTGAACTGTCGCCAAAAGTGGATGATTAATGACGTTTCAAAATAATTAACTGATTGAACTGTCGCCAAAAGTGGATGATTAATGACGTTTCAAAATAATTAACTGATTGAACTGTCGCCAAAAGTGGATGATTAATGACGTTTCAAAATAATTAACTGATTGAACTGTCACCAAAAGTTAACGATTAAAAACATTTTAAAATAAGTGGTAGTCTTGAAAATCGTAAGTTCATGAATATATTGTTCTTAGCATTTTTTGAGGACCTAAAACTAACGTTCAAAAGAAAATGATCGAGTAAAAGGGGCAGCTTTGTCGAAATTGTGAAAATCCTACCGGGTACCACGCCACCCTCGAGCTGATTAAAGACCCACCCGACACCCGACTAGTACCAGCTCGTCGCTCAGTGTCCACTCGTTGTAGATAGGTGGTCCACGGGTGGATGCCGCATTGTCAACCACTGAACGTCTGGTGATTCACGAGTGGATGCCTAAACCCCCACTAAATTTCCCGTAGTCAACTAGTGGACATTGCGTTGTCCACGAATAAATCAGTAGTTTATCAGGGATCGACAGCGCGCAATTGTCCACTCGCCGTCCACAAGTAGTCGTCCACAAGTGGTAGTATACCCATAGACCTCTAGAGGTGAAACAGCTGTTCCCGGACCCTTCCTACTTCAGGCGAAGAGTTGCACACCGTGTGGTTTTAGTCGAACCGATTTCAACACACCTCGGCGCAAATCCTGATGGGATGACGGCAAGAGGAGGTTCCTCACGTACAGAAAAAAAAAAGAATGGATACACGGGTGAGAATCCGGCCTCTTCGAGTACTGCAGTCTCAGTCAAGTTTCCCATTCAAGACTTGCTTTATCCCTTACCCTAGCTCCTTAATTCCGTAATCTTAACCACAATTTGCTTCTTTCTGTAGTCTCTTTTTGACGAGGGTTGAAATCGGGAGGCGGACGGCTATAAAAGAATCCACTCAAAATCCTTTCCTACAGCAAGCAGCAACAGCTTTTAATAGTCCACTACTGGGCATAGGCCTCTCCTTAGAAAGAAGGTTTTGGACTACCATACGGCGCTGGCCAGACGGGTTGGTAAATGGTTTGTGTCAAGTTTTACTTTTCTTAGCTCTTCGTACCCATTGTCAAAACACAAAATTTAGAAAAGGTTATACAAATGATGCTGCTTATTTGTGAATAGTAAAAATCTAATTTTAAATTAGTTTAATATACCTAAACTAAAACATAAACTAAAATTAAAGTTAAACATTTACATAAATATCTTAATTTAGAGATAAATTATGTAGACCTATTACTGAAGGTGTTCTCATCGCATCTCATAATCGTCTTCTAGTCAGAGACTGTTAAGGAGCACGGCTTAGGTTATTGTAAGACTATCCTTTACTATTGCTTTGTATCTTTTATTATTGTTTAATTGTATACTAGCTGAGACCCGCAGGGTTACCCGCGTTTGTTGTTATAACCGCGGGCAACACCGCGGGGTGAAGCTAGTCTAAAAAAAGTAGCCTAAGTTACTCCTTATGTCATCAGCTATCTGCCAGTGAAAGTCCTGTCGAAATCGGTCCAGCCGTTCCAGAGATTACCCGGAACAAACAGACAGACAGACAGTCAGACAGATAGACAGACAAAATTTAAAAAAAAAGTTATTTTGGCATATTGTACCGTGTAAACATACATATGTATTTAGTAAAAAGCGGTTATTTTAATATTACAAACAGACATTCCAATTTTATTTATTTGTATAGATACGCGCGTTGCCAGCGTTTCTGCATAGTCGGGGGGACTGTTGCACGTGACAATCCGTCGCGAGTCCTTGCGCAGTCCTGGCGCATACCCGAGCGAGTCCCTTTTGAGTAATTATTTAGTTACCACGTGTACGACAATAGTATTTCGATGCTACGCCAGAGGATGGATAATAAGTGCAAAATATCAACATAAAGTCTTTCCAGGTCTTTCGTTGAAACTTTTATAAAAAATATTGAAAATAACACAATAAAATAACGTATCATTTTTTCTCATTACACTTCACTAAATACTATTACACTAATACAAATGTTTTATAACAGTTAAATACTTAAAGTATTTATATTCAAAGAAGTAAAAATATTAAATAACTTTTTTCTAATGTCTCAATTTCTCTGATAAAGGTTGGTCCAATTACGTTAATTCTTTATGAATTTTGTCGTCACTATTCCTTTCGTTTACAATCGTAGACGGCATGCTTAATTTTTATAATTTACAGAACAATTTTTTTTTTCTTTATTTTTTAAAGACATTTTCCGCATTAGGAATATATCCTGTGACTTTACAAACATACATGAAAGGGACACAAAAACCACCCAGACTCAGAATAACAATTTGTGGATCACACAAAGTGTTGCTCGATGTGGGTATCGAACCCAAAACTCTTAAACCACTACGCCATCCATATAGTCGTACTACATATGTATATTATATAACACACTTTATATCACTTTCATTTCAAGAAACAACACTCATCACTTATGAAAGTTATCTGATCCTGATGTTGTTCACTTCTTAATATAATTTTTATTTCCAAGTTGGGAAGCCTCCTCTAATGTATCCGGCAGTTTCGTATCACGGGTCTCCGGCGTGAGGAAGATAAGCCCACCGGAGAGTAGGGCGAAGGATGCAAACAAGACGAACGGTAAATCTTCGAACCATTGTGCACCCTGTAATATTGTCATACTCAAATAAATTTACAGATCAAATAAGTTAAAAAAAAATAGTTTAAAAAAACTAAAAAACACGCTTTTTATAGAAAACCAAACTAAAAAATAGAAAATAAATTTGAAAAAAAGCGTAGGATGCTTTTTACTATTGACTTTTTTTTTATTTTATTTTTTAAATGAGTGTGTTGCCATCGGTCCTCGATATATCTACAAAGTTTGAACGAATCCTGACCGTTTAAAGTCAGTCAAAATCACGGCCTAAGGAGTCGGTTACAAATAAACATACAAACATACAAGTGACGCTAATATAAAGCGTGTAACAGGCACGTATGAGCTGGCTCGAACGACCACGATCTCAAAGAAAATCACTGTTATCTTAATAACAGTGATTTTCGCATTGCATTTTACTAAGTGAGTGAGTTTACTGGAAGCCCAATCGCTATAATCGCTTGTCATCTGGTGATCGCTAGCCCGTTTGCCCCTTATACTATTAAAATGTAAAGAATTAAGAGTATTATAATTGCTCAATTAATCAGGAATAGTGAACTTAATTGTAGTAAAACTTTGTATTTATTAAGCTATTGCATAGCTTCTATCGCGGGCCTAGAGCGTGCAGACCGAATCCAGAAATTCCGAAACGAAAATAACTACCCGCCACTCCGACCGGCACAGCGATGATACTTTTTAGTTTTGCCATCTATCAATGAATAGCAGAACTTTTAATGACTTTTTTGAAATATCAATTTGTCTCTTTAGTTCAGCAACTCGCCTCTAGGTGGCATTGGTTGTGACGCGGTATTTGCCAGATATTTAGAAAATATCAAGTCTCAAACTTGTTTCTTATTTCAGTTAATATAAACCTATAGTTTCAATGATAAATAATCCTGAATAACCTACATGTATTGTAAGATAATAAAAATATTTTGAACAATATTAACTTCTCATTTATTTAATAAAAGAAAAAAAATTGTTTTCTTATCGGTCACCACGCTCAAAAAGTGTAACTTGAATTAATATCAAAGAAAAAAAAACAAAGGAAAAAAATACTGCATACATAAAATAAATAAATAATTACATATAATTGCATAAGTTGATAAAAAATGCTATGCAATAGCTTTACCGCGGCAGTCCCCGAGTGCCACACGTCTTTTTTTAATAAGTAAATAAATTAGAGCTATTTATTTTTTTATAACAATACAAAAGTCGTTGTTAATTATCTGATGTTTGATTTAGCAAAATATGTGCTTCGTAAAACAACAATACCCTTTAATTACGAACCGAATTAAAAAGTAAACTAGCTTATTATTAAAAAAAAAGTGATTGCTTGAAAATGTGTAGGCGCAACCCTGAAGGCCAATTCACTTATTAAACGTTCGGCTAAAATTCAGTGGTTTGCGTCACAATAAAATTTATTGACTTTTTGGATGTCGTCAAACAGCTGATAACAAAAAAATACTTATTTTACCTGTTATAAATCAGAAAATAAAATAATAAAAGATCAAAGTTATTGCGTTATCTATTATCATTTATTTAAAATACGGCATGGTTACTGTCCGTGTGGTGACGGATTAAGAATACAGAGTGTCACCACCCCTATTCATCCCGTGGGTGTCGTAAGAGGCGACTAAGGGAGAAAACTACGCAGGACAATAACACTGCAGAGAGAAGGAAAACTTGAAACAAACCGTATACCAACCCGTCTGGCCAGCGTGATATAGTAGGCCAAAACCTCCTTTCTAAGGAGAGGCCTATGTCCAGCAGTGGACTAGTATAGGCTGTTGATGACGGCATGGTTTATATATTTTGTGCCGGCTTTTTCTTCCTAAAATACTTTATAACTCACTAGCTGACCCGCGCAACTTCGTCTGCGTCTCTCAATAGTAATAAATTTTCTCCGTTTTTGAAACATTATTCATTGGTGCTCCGCTCCTATTGGTCTTAGCGTGATGATATATAGCCTATAGCCTTCCTCGATAAATGGGCTATCTAACACTGAAAGAATTTTTCAAATCGGACCAGTAGTTCCTGAGATTAGCGCGTTCAAACAAACAAACAAACTCTTCAGCTTTATAATATTAGTATAGATTTGCTGAACCCTGGCACGTTTCGCTGTGGTGTATTGAGTTTGCATTGATACATGATACTGTTTTGCGCACCTGAACTTTTTTTGAGAATAAAGTTTTGATCTTATTAAATTGTACATGAGTAATTGAATGTTAGAATAAAAACGTCGTAAGACCTATGAACCCCGGTAGGGACGAAGTTCCTTTCGCTTTTTGGTAGAAGTTTGCTATACGGTCATTACAATTTATAGTATAAGATATAATATAATATAATATAATAATACACACACTAGATATAATATAATATATATAATATAATAATACACATACAGACACACACTAGTTAGGTTCCTCTCATACAATGAAACTACACATTAAAAATTAAATTACAGTAAATAATTCTCATTTTTCATATCTAACTTTATCAATTTGAAGTTATTGGGGACATAGATATCTTTTTTCCCGTGTGTTACGGGACGGGGTATTTATAAAACCGACAAAAGTCGAGATGTTGAGCTCAACACTCACATTTATATAATATAATATTCTACCACATTCACACAACGCCATCTAGTCCCAAACTAAGCAGAGCTTGTACTATGGGTACTAGACAACTGATATAAATACATATATACTTTTTTTTTATACATATTATACATAGAAACACCCAGACCAAATCAAACATTAAATGTTCAAGCACACAAATGTTTGACTTGAGCGGGAATCGAACCCGCGACCTTTGGAATAGCAGTCCGTTACACAAACCACTATGCCATCCGGTCGTCAAATATAAGATATTAAGTTAATAGAGTTAAATTGATAAGTTTATGATAAAACATCGATAATTGCGGCTGTAACTATAGCAAGAAGTGTCGGAAAAAAGTTTTGTTACACATAATTCGATCTCGCTCTCATCCGCTCAGAGCATGTATCGTGCGATAAGGAAAGTACATTACACTGTATTCGCCTGATAAATAATAACGAGAAACCTGATTTTACGCATTCTAACTTCTAAATGATATCGATAGGTAAATAAATATATCCTCAGAATACTTAAAAAAAACAATAATTTCAAACGTTAACAATATTGCATACTGGAACCTAAACAGCTTTAGAGTTTTATTAGAAAATATACCAGACTCCAAACAGCTTTATTAATATTTTTTATAAAAAAATCAAGTATCATTTCTATCTTCAGATTTTTTAATAATTTTCCTATAAAAGCCTATTCTCATTAAAAAACTACTACTATATTTTAATTACTGTCCGTGTGGTGACGGATTAAGATCATGGAGTGCCACCACACCTATTCATCCCGTAGGTGTCGCAAGAGCCGACTAAGCTACCTACTCAGGACAACAGCACTGCAAAGAGAAGGAAAACTTGTCACAAACTCTATCCCAACCCGTCTGGCCAGCGAGGTATAGAGGCCTATGTCCAGCAGTGGACTATTAAAGGCTGTTGATATGATATTTTAATAATATGAGAAAAATCCGTAATTGGGACTATGAACCATTAATTATTATTTTAACCTTTAACAGAAAATAAAGTAAACTTGATGGATGCGAGAAGCCCAAAATCGATCTAAGTGGCGTGCAATGGGAGAGGCCAATGTCCAGCAGTGGACTGCGATAGGCTGATGATGATGATGATGATGAAAGTAAACTTACAATAGCTGGTGTGAGAGGTGCCACCATGGAACCAATTCGTCCTATCATCGACGAATACGCAAAGAGGCTATGGCGATGTTTTGTAGGGTACAGCTCCGTGGTGTAAACGTAAATTGATGTCATCACCATCGCGATCGAGAACTTACCAATCAGGTAAACTGTTAGAGACACTGGATACAGATCTTAAAAAAAAAACGAAGATAATTAAAAACATTGAATTTGCAAACGAAAATTACCTATGTATAAAAAACTAGTTTTGCCTGCTTGTATGTCGATTTTCGCTATAAGAAGTATGCCTATGTCCTTCCTCAAGAATCAAACTTTGGTATGGAGATATCCCTACCAAATTTCATGTAAATCGGTTCAGCAGTTATCAAATCAAATCAAATCAAATTGTTTATTTGCGTATTACAGGTTATACAAAGATTTTATATACTAGTTTTGTAATCTGTATACTACCCTTTCAGGTGTGCAAATATTTCACACAAATTAATTACACTAAACACAACAAATATGTATTGAATTGTCATATATTAAAAAATAAAAGTAAAAACTCTTACTCCTAAATTATATCAGTACCTGAGAAAAATCGCAGAATTTTTAAATTATGTCAAATCAATAGTCCAGTATTATCTATATGTACATTTACGTGTTATTGATTCCAAATAGAAATTTCCATCTCCTTTTCACCTCCCTTTGATTTCTGGGATAATAACTATCCTATGTCCTTTTACGGGACTCAAACTATCTCTATACATAATTTCATCTAAATCGGTTCAGCGGTTTAAGTGTGAAAAGGTCACAGATAAACAGACAGACACACTTTCGCGTTTATAATAATAGTATGAATATACCTTATACATTATCGCTTAATAATTTTAGTAGGTGTCAAGTTGTAATGGATTTCGGCAGATTTTTTTCATGGTTGACCGTCTGTCTGACGCCAACCATCCTTAGAAACTGTGCTCAAACGGGACAGTATAAGGTAAATTAGGATGGGACAGGGCGACGGAGCCAGGGCAAGAAATTCAGAGACCGCAAATCTTTAATATGGAAACAGGGCTAAAACTGCAGAAGTCCCAAAATGTCAAGGTCTTGTACCCATATATCGGCGCACGAGGGGCTTATAAGGACAGAGAGATTAACACTGCCGACCTACATATGATATTATTTGAAAAAAATATTCAACTAGCTTGTTCCCGCCTGCTTATATGTAAACGCGATAAAAAGTTGCATCTCTTTCCTCAAAAATCAAAGTATGTGTGTAAATTTCAAAATAGGCAGTTCCACCTCCTTTTTACCCTTTTAAAAGATATTTATTGGATAAAACTATACTATCCTATGTATTTTCCCGGGACTAGGACTATCTCTATACCAAATTTCATCTAAATCGGTGCAGCGGTTTAAGCGTGAAACGGGTAACAGACAGATACACTTTCGCATTTATATAGTGTCCGTGTGGTGACGGTGTCCGTGTGGTGACGGATTAAGAATACAAATTGTCACCACCCCAATTCTTCCCGTGGGTGTCGTAAGAGCCGACTAAGGGAGCAAACTAAGCAGGACAACAGCACTGCAAAGAGAAGGAAAACTTGAAACAAACCCTATACCAACCCGTCTGGCCAGCGTGGTATAGTAGGCCAAAACCTCCTTTCTAAGGAGAGGCCTATGTCCAGCAGTGGACTAGTATAGGCTGTTGATGATGATGATGATGATTTATAATATTGGAATGGATAGGATACTTACTATCAGGCATAAATATGTACGCAATTTGGCAAGCAGCGCATATCCAGAAACCTAAAATAAGCACTGCCTTTCTTCCAATCCTTCCCAATAGGAAAACTGCCGACCAATAGCCGGGAATCTCGACTGCTGACACGTACACATAGTTTAAATATCTATTGCCTGACATATTCACAGCGTTGATCGACAATCCGTAGTATATGAAAGTGGTGGTAACCCACCACACAGGCGACACAAGTACACGAAGTAATATTGGCTTATGTTGAAATATTTGTACGATTAACCAAGGTTCTTGGCCTTTAAGTTCTTCCTCCAGTGCTTTTTCCTTCGCCTCTTGGAGCGCCGTGTCGCGTAATGCCTGCAAAGACTTTTCAGATACTGTCGTGCCGTTAGCTTTCGCCATCTTTCGTAATACCGCATCTGATTCATCGAAGCGGCCTTTGCTCATGTACCAACGAATAGATTCAGTTACGAGCCAAAAATAGAGTATTGTTAGCAGTTGAGGAATGTACAGGGTTATTGTGAGGTACCTCCAGTTCGGTACACCCCAAGCAATTAAACCCATTAGTACACATCCCACCGAAAAGCAAGTATTCATCAATGCGCCACCAGCAACGCGGTACTTAGGGCCCATCAACTCCATGACTGTAAAATACATTTAAAAACTTAATTTAACAGAAATGTAGACAGATGATAGTAACTGAGGCATATATACAGTAAAAAGCAGCAGCCAGTGTGTTGTTCGTTAATAACGTTTTTATGGTAAATACGTTAGGGGGGAGGGGGGTGCAAATGAGCAGACGGGTCACCTGATGGTAAGTGACTATCGTTGCCCATGGACACTACCAGCTCATGAAATACAAGTGCGTTACTACTCTGACATGCGTGTGAAGCATGCCTCGCCTATGGTAGATGTTTCCAATGCTTTGTTGGTGCTCACCTATTTCCACTTCCTACCTTACATCCTCCTTTCAGTTTCTGTGTGTTAGTCACAACAGAACCCTCCTTTCCACATAAAATACCCACTCATACTTCTGCGTTTGTCCACTCTTCGTTTCTAATTCAATCTGTTCTCCTTTCCCTCACCCTGGAAATTGGGATAGCATCTAGCCGCCTTTCGTTCAATACGACAGATTCGTCCCAATCATAATGCTTTATATTTTATTTATGTATTTTTGTACTCGTACGTATGCATATTTGTGTTTATTTATATGTACTAGTATTTGACTATGTTGATTTTTTGTTTTAATACCTGTGGTATTAAGTCTTTCATTGTACAGCTTAGTTTGTGCATAAAGTATCAAATTGATAAAAAATAACGTAGATCAAACAGACAAGTCTTACGTTGAGACAAAATGTACTTAACAAAAATTCTGTCTTGATTTACTTTGCATATTTTGGTAGATCAAAAACAAATGAACTCGAGTTGACTAATACTTGTTGACAATAGACAGAAAAGCGTGATTGTCATTCAATTTATGGGTTACGTGTCACTTTAATAAAGAAAATACTCACGCATAATGTAATTACTCGAAAAGCCACCGGATCCGAAAGTAGCTTCAAAAAACTCAGACAACATAAAACCTATGTATGTATTTGACCAAAATCTGACCACACCCATCCATGCCGTATTGAAAGCATTGAGAGTAAGCGCTACACGACGGCCCCACCGATCTGACACGTACCCAGTGATTGGTAGCGCAGTCAAAGTACCAAAAGTTCTAATGGTACCTATTAATGATCTTCTCCATTCATCACATGCTAGATCCAACTGTAAAAGGAAGTGTGATAAAGCGTAAATGATATCTAATGGCTGTTCTGATGATGTTCAATGCCACGGCAGACTAATAATAATAATATTGTACCTGTATTGTAATATCACACAACGCCATCTAGTCCTAAACTAAGCAGAGCTTGTACTATGGCTACTAGACAACTGATATTAAAACATTTATACTTTTTCTTGTAAATACATACTTATTATACATAGAAACACCCAGACCAAATCAAACATTAAATATTCATGCACACAAATGTTTGACTTGAGCGGGAATCGAACCCGCGATCTTTGGAATAGCAGTCGGTTACACAAACCACTACGCCATTCGGACGTCAAATGTTTAAAAATCAAATCAAAAGTTATTTTATTAACTTACATCGTACGCGACTGAGTGCGTGTTCTCATAAACGTGATCCTCACAAGGGCGTACATAATTCCTGTCAAAGAGTGAGCTTGGACAGGTGTTGCTTTCGACTTGTCGCGATAAAGCAGATGAATTGCCATACCGTTGACAATTGTCAAATGTGCTCGAACCAGTAGCTGGTATAGCATTTGGAAGCCAATATGGTGACCATTCGGGCTGAGGGCCGTCACACTCCGGAATTACACATCTAAAAATTAGACACCGATGCATTAACTAGGAACTGCACAGGAACTGACTAAATAACTTTAAAAAGTATCACTGACTTTAATGTTCCTACATCATGAGGAATTATTATAAACTGTATTCACCATTTTTAATTTTCCACCTTTGGTATTTTTTCTTCAAAATTGAATCGGACTAATAGGAAAGTAAACCCTCCCTAACAAAAAAACATCTAAATCAATTTATAATTAACGATGTTTGAAGTAACAAACATAAAATTGAGAAGACTTGAGGACTTGTTTCTTTTTAAAGAAGTTTCATATAATGTATTTTGAATAGATCCACAGTTGCTATTACAGTATCGGTATCTTCAATCAAAAGAACCCATAAGCTCGATGGAGCTAGTAGTGAATATCTACCACCTGCTATTAAATATTATCGAAAAGAATATAGCGAATGATATTTTCTGCTTACACGATAAAATAAATAAAACAAACCTGGTTGTGATTCTAGCAGTTGTGAAGACATACTCAGAAGCACTCCAAGCTGCAAAGATTGCTATAACTGCCGCTAGTATTACTGCCCTCAACTGGAACTTTCCAAACTGCCCAATTTCATTTACGAGGATTGTGTCCAGGGTTACTTTTTGCTTTCCATACGATTCAGGATCTTCCGCAACATTTCCTTCTGTAGTAATTTTGTCCATGGTACAAACTTTCTCACTAGCGTAGTGATCTATACTAATTTGCAAAACCAATATTGTGTCAGGTATTTATCTATTATATTAATAATCTGGCCATAAAATTAATATACATAAAAATTTCAATTCCTGTAATTATTTTATGGCTTATGATAATTTATGTCGTCGCGTCGTGTGCAACAAAATAACAAAACAAGAATATGATTCAAAATTTAAAGGAAAAATTATTACCGATGTACGCAGTTTTTATGGTAAACATAACCGGTTTTTGTAAACACTTGTTTGGGCTAGATCTTATCATTTATTAACTTCGACTATTCAGAGGTTGAATACCTTAAATTTGATAACTAATCATAAATCTGATTGAAATCCTGCAATATATGATAATGAAACTTATCGATATTGTAAAAAAAATGCACATATGGTGACGGAAGAAGAATACAGGGGTTATTCAGATCGTGGGTGTCTGCTGCTGCCTGAGGGAGCAAACTCTGCACGATAGTAGCACTGGTTTAGTATAGTAGGCCAAAACCGTCTTAGATATAATGACATACATATACGCAGTAAGAATTATACATTAGAATTATCGGTATATATCCTTGGATAATTAGTGGGTGTGGTAACAGATTAAGAATGCGAATTGTCACCACTCCTAATCATCCCGTGGGTGTCGTAAGAGCCGACAAAGAAAGCAAACTACACACGACAATAGGCACTAAAAAGAGAAGGAAATCCCAACCCGGGTGGACCAAAATCTCCTTCCTAAGGAGAGGCTTATGTCTGCTATGGACTATTAAAGGCTGTTAATGATGATGATAAATATAATAATTGGCATTACTACCTTCTTTTTCATGGACAAAAGAAAAAAACATGACTGTTTTCTTTTAAGGCCGTCCACCTAATTGATGATATAGAGCTAGGCTAGATACCCAAACTTTTGGATGGAACAAAGACTAGTAAATCCAAGAGACCGTAATCCGTAATCGAAGCCGTAATCAGTATTTTGATTGGAGAGACATAGGCAGTTTGTTCCTGGAGAGAATTGTGGGAATATTTTCCCGAATGCCTAGAAAAAAATTGCACTTATTAATGTGAGTGATATCTGTAGGTAAGTCTAGTAGTACATCAATATGTTACAACTCTGTTTTGATTAGTATACCATAAAGATTATTAATCTAATCTAAATTGAATCTTTGTATATGTAAATGACGATTTTATGACTATAAGTACTTTTTTATACACTATATTTTATTCATCACACACAATACATACGCGGACGCACATGTTCTTTCAGATAGACCTAGTTCAAGTAGCAGTCAGTACTAGCAAGAACGTCCATCTTCACCAGGGACTTCCCCGCTGCGGTTCACGTCGCCTGATTTATTGCGACCAGTAGAATATAGTTCCTATTCACCGGAACGTGTAAAATGCAGTTCTGACTCATTGAAATTGGCACTCTCCGTAAGAGAGAACAGGTGTCTGACTAATTAAGGAATAATTGAATTGAAGGAGACTTCCATGGCAAAAATATATGTTAGCCATCTAAAGAGATGAGTTAAACTTTGTGGTAATAAGTGCCAATGCATCCTAATAGCGCAATAAAACATGGATTTAACGTTCTAACATGAACCATTTAGCCGCGGCACCGTCTGACATGATCACCTATCCGAAGGGATCCTTCTTTTGAGTTGGATAGACATAACACCTGATCCTATTCACTAGCTACTTTAAGAGCTTCAACTACAGACGAAACGATATTTCTGGTAACAGTGGGACTATGATCAAACAGGTATGTACATATTTTGTTTGACGAGTTTCATTTTTGAGGAGTGTTGCTTTTAATGATTTCGAAAAGCTCTTCTGTGTTGTATAGATAATAATTCTGCGCGGGTAATGAATACCAAGGCTGTTGATAAAATGTTTGCACTTACCCGGAAATGTTAATGTAATAATCATTAATATTGACATTATAATGAATGATAAATTTTCATTTTTCATTATAAGATGTTATGTTATAGATGTTACCCACCGCCTTCAGCTCTATAAGGCCGGCTCTATATCCGGGCCGCATATGGAATACTGTTCTCATTTCTATGCAGGGGCACCTCAGTACCAGCTTTTCCGTCTGGACCGTATCCAACGAATAGCAACTCGAATCGTCGATAGCCCAAACACTAATACCAGCAGCAACTTTCCGCCATCGTTCCAAACGGCAAAATTTTCATCCTTATCATCTGGATAATGCGACAAGATGAAATATCTGGGTCTGATTCTCGAAGGGAGGTGGCTCTTCGACGAGCACTTCCGACGAACTTGCTCTAAAGCAGGTCGGCGCTGCGTCTGCCTTTGGGCCACTTTTACCCAAGTTGGGTGGACCCAGCGTCGCAAAGAGACGGCTGTACACGGGGTTGGTCCGGCCAATGGCACTGTGCGGTGCACCCGTGTGGGTGGCGGCTCTGACCGCTCAGAATAGGACACGCCTCTGGCGCCCTCAGAGGATATTGGCGGTTCGAGCCATACGCGGTTATCGCACCGTCTCGACGGAGGCGGCGTGCGAATTGGCTGGTACTCCTCCGTGGTATTTAGAGGCGGAAGTGCTCGCAGAAGTATATCGGCGGACGGCTAAGTTCCGGGCGGATAGTGGCAGTCGGCCTCCGCCCGAAGAGATACGCGAGTGGCACCAAGCCACGATGGCTCGTTGGTCATCGTCGAGTGGGCAGGACGGCAGCACGGGACCCTTTCCTTCCGGCTAACGCATCATCATCCTCGGGGGGGATCTCTAGAAAGAAAGAAAGAAAAACAATTTTTTCGTGGACGTAAGAACATACACTCACAATATAAAGGAAACTTAATACAAGGCTTAAGCGAAAATACATTTTTACGTGTAGGTACCTCACAAGCCAGTCGAATAGGACCTGGTACAGCGTCTGCTTGACAGATGTCAAGCGCTGGTTTTCAACCAAACCTTTTAAGGAGTGACGGATGTAAATCGGCCTATGCAATAATAAAAAAATAAATAGTTATAAGCTAATATTCAATTTTAATTTTTTTTTTTTTCTTTTTTGTTCAAAAAAGACAACTCCCGCATTAGGAATAAATCCTGTGTCGCGGGGGACTTTACAAACATACATGAAACGGACACAAAGAACGCCCAGACTCAGACCAACAATTTGTGGATCACACAAAGTGTCGACACTCGGCGTAGTAGGAAGCGGCGTGGCGACCGCTTAAACCACTACTCCATCCGTGCAGTCAACAGGTTCGCAGCAGGTCCACGATCAAGCCCAAATTACGAGTCTCATGAACTCTCTCAATACCCTGCCCCATAAGTGTTGTTTAGTGTAGACAGACGACTAAGTTGATATTTTGTACCCAGTGGCATAAACTTAGTTTTATGGGGGTTGAGTACCAAGGAGTGATTTTGAGACCAATGGCGCTACCGGCCGTCATACGTTTCATGGCCGGTAGTGACAGATGTTTCACCGCGGTCGCATCCTTCTGCGAAGACGTCATCTTGCAGAAGGAGGCGGAGGAGAGGGCCCGGGAGGACAACCTCCACTCGGACTCAATTCGTCGCCGGCGAACCGGGCGGCGGAAGCACGCTTAACGCGCGTCCAAGTGTGCTGGACGTCGCCTAAATGGAGAATGTACCCGAAGATGGTACCCTATTACAGGCACAGGTATTGTCCCTGTAAAGAGATGAAAACAGAATTCCATATGTGGCCGAACTTAATAATTACAAACTTATACAATAAGAAACCACCTATTACTCAACGCGCTTGTGACTCCTGAGGGTCCGGCTTTCATGCCAATTTCGACCAGCTGACCCATCTGCTCGTTTGCCCCTATTTAAGTATATTTTAGAAAGTTCAAGTTCCAGGAACATCAATATACCTATGATTATAACCTACCTATCTACTTATTTATGGCTCTAGTTTATTTAAATGAAACGTTATTCTAATTTTATTATTCCTCATCTTATCAGAGTCTATATATTAATTAATTACAATAACCGATTGTAAATAGATTAGATTTTATCTAAATCAATATTATTACTATAAATAAGCGGTAGTATGATTAGAAATATTATAAGTTGTATCAATAGATAAATATACAGACAAAAATTATTATCTAGTAGTTAATAACCCCAGGCGAAGACCTAGATAAAATGGGTCTGTCGAAATATTGTTTCCGCGTCTTACGATACGAAGGCAATCATTGTTTTTTTTAGATATTTATATAAAATATATATTTTTTTTCTTTTTTTAAAAGACAACTCCCGCATTAGGAATAAATCCTGTGTCTCGGGGGACTTTACAAACATACATGAAACGGACACAAAGAACAACCAGACTCAGAACAACAATTTGTGGATCACACAAAGTGTCGTCCCATGTGGGGTTGAACCCACAACACTCGGCGTAGTAGGAAGCGGCGTGGCGACCGCTTAAACCACTACGCCATCCGTGCAGTCAAAACTATAAACACAGTGTTTTCCGCCTTTTAGTACTTTGTTGTCTTAACAAGGAACCTTTAGTTACGCCACGTCTGTCTTTCTGGGTCGTCCGGTGACCTTCTGCCTGGGGCTAAGCTTAAAAGTATAGAACTAGAAAACTATAGGTAATTTTGTATATTTCATATGTTCTTCACATCAACATCATCATTATCAACAGCCTTAATTTGTCCACTGCTGGACATAGGCCACGGCCACTCCTTAGAAATGAGGTTTCCTACTATACCGCGCTGGCCAGACGTGTTGGTGTAGGGTTTGTTTCAAGTTTTCCTTCTCTTTGCAGTGCTGTTGCACTGCGTAGTTTGCTCCCTTAGTCGGCTGTGCTAAGGTCTCGGGTTCATTCCCGGTTCGGACCAAATGTTTGTATGATTTGCAAATATTTTTTTCGGAGTTTGGGTGTTTCCTATGTTTAGTATGTATGTATTTACAAAAAAAAAGTACATAAGTATTCTATCAGTCAATCTAGCTTTTATAGTACAAGCTCTGCTTAGTTTGAGGCTGGATGGCGTGATGTTTTAGAGTTAGTAATACATAAATATTTTAGTCCAAATTTACTTATTATACGGTTTCTCATTTAGAACATTATCTTGTAAATTCGTTGAAAGGATGATACCTTCGTGCTAGATGAACAGAAAAGGTATAGAGCTAACCACCACCACTGACTTTTGTATGCTTTTTTATTTATTTATTTATTTATACCATACTATACATTATTATTACAGCTAGACCAATACAACGAACAAATAAGTACAAGGTACCCGAAGTATTTAACAAAATAGACTTATTGAACGAAAATCCTAAAATAAGTACCGGGAAATTAAAGAGAAGTCTGAAGGATATTCTGTTTGAGGTTACTGAAGCGGTTGGGTTATGACTGCATATTGTGATATAGAAATTGTTCTCATGGGGTTGTCTTAAGTATGTAATACTATTTTTCATAGTTTAGTTTAATTAATTAATTGTTATAAGTTGTTACGTTTTTTTTTGTAATTTTCGCTATGTGTGATGTACACACAGTGTAGCATGGATTACTTAATTGATTAACAAGCGCGTCTCGCTGTTAAACATACGTTTGGCGAGTATAAAGGTTAAGTCTTAGATCTAAGTTACTACTGTGAATTACTTAAATAAAAAAAAATAAAAAATAATAATAATGCAAGACACAAAAAAAAAACAAATCTATAAAAAAATCCTTAAAAAATAATAATAATTAAGAACTAGAACTACTCAGTACGCAATATATGGCCTTTGTGAACTCATTGAGCGAACACGAATAAACGTCAAAATGATCCGACAGTTCCGACACCGCATTTAGCGCACGCAGCTTATGTACGTGTTTATTGATTAATATTTTTTATTTGCCACTTTTGATTGTTACCCATTTCCTAAACCTGGGTTTATTCATGAAAAGTAGCATTATTTAAAAGAAAAGCATTGTATCTTCATAATTTCTTTCATATTATAGTAAACTTGTTACAAGTGAACCACTAATTCAGAGGCAAATTTGGTCGGATAGAGCCTCTTTTAGATTTTCTGGTCAAACCTTATCAAGTCTGGGTACTACACACTACACATAGAGTAACAGCAAGGGTTTAAAAAATACACCAAATTAAATAAAACATTTTTATATTGTCAATTTTTTTTTATACAACATTTGTGCAAATATATGTGATAGTTTTTACATATGCCTTACATTAACTTTAACTTATAAAACGTACTAAATCATTGTCTAGGATTGGATCAACCAGGTCCTAATAGTTTCCAGCCATTGTGACCTGGACTTGTACTCACTAATGAGCTTATTTTAAAACAACGTAAAATAATAATAAGGACACAACTCACATACGTCAGTCTGATGCCAAACTGGGGAACCAGACCGCTGATAAATATACTCATATATATTTTAAATACATACATATTGTAGATAAATTGCGGCCAGACGCATAACATGTGATCATGCTCATCACACAAACATTTATCGCATTTCTTTGACCAGTATAAGTTGAGCTGTCACTGCCATGCACCATGACCGGTCAAATTATTACCGGACCCTATAATTTGATGTCCGTTCCATTACATATTTTTTACTTTATAAAATTACGATAATATTAGAATTTCAAATATAATATGCTCCCATGAACCATATTATTTGTTTAAAAAAAGGATTTTCTTTACGTAATAATATGTAAAGGCTGTTCCCTGCCTGTATTCGAGAAGTTTTCTTGCGTATTTGATCATAATAATATAGTTCACTATTTCGACTTTCAAAAGCCGCATGATTTCATGAGCAGTGATTATTTGTATTTTCTGTTACTGCATGATGTGCAGCAGGTGATGAAGTTTGATACTTCTTGCTCGTTGCTCTGGTGGCCCACTAACACAATACTAAAGTGGGTCACAAGAGCATAGACTATGTATTGCAGTGTCTGCTGCTGTTCAGCAGAATCTGTATGTGCATGGAGATTCTGCCCATGGTGATTTTGCTCATGCCTATGTACAGCAGTGGACTGTGAAAGGCTGTTGATGATGATGATGATGATGATTTTGCTCAAATTTAGGTTGAACACGTGTATGTTCACAGTGTTCCAGAAGAAACCGTGATACATACGTTGACTCCCAAAATTTAGGGGCGTTCCTCCTCCGGTAACCTTACTCACTCGGTGAAAAGCTACATAGAGTGAGACCATGGTGTCACTTCGGTTGAGTCGCCACCATGAAATCATCAATGTAACTCAAAATACTTTTTGACTGCACTCAGTTTGCAGAACTGATACTCACTAATCATTACTAGTGAGCATCAATTCTGTACAACCTCAATTTTTATGATAACCTGAATGAACACCACTATTATTGACAGCAAGATTAAACTTATATAGTTCTATATTAAATACACTAGTATTATTACATAACCTATTTTCTAATACTGTTTTTGAGACCAATATCTGAAGCCTCCTCGAAAGTATCCGGCAATTTGGTGCCGAGAGTCTCTGGGGTGAGGAAGATCAGCGCACCAGATACCAGGGCAAAGCTTGCAAACAAGACGAAGGGTAGGTTTGCAAACCATTGGGCACCCTGAAAAAGAGAAACCAAATAAAAAAATGCATTACACAGATATACCTTCTTGTATTTTTATGGCATAGGAAGCAAGGTACGTGATGATAAGACTTACTACTGCTGTCAATGGGGAGTTCAACGTAAGAGACAGAATTACCTTGGCCCCCACTTACTCGGTGAATTGTTTGACACTAGATTTTCTGTGAGTATGTGGTATCATTCGTCATCAACCCGTACGTTCCGAAGCAAGGATTACCATGGTTGAAAATATGATCATTCTTTATTGTGGGAAATTATTTCCAATTTATTTCAGAGCCCGGAGTGTGTCTTGGATACAGATCTAATATATAATCTAATCTAATAAAATAGAATGTTCATTGTCTGTCTGACAATGGATTGATCGATCGATATCGGCCTTGTTCACAGGTACTTGACAAGTTATCAAGTGCCATAAGTTGGGCAATCAACCTGATGGTCACTTGACAACCAGTAAGACAATCGCCAAGGGAATAATGTAGATTTATATCGTTATTGCCTTTACTATACAAACCTTTATATATTCCCAAAGCGGGAAAGAGGTCTATGAATGCCCACATTCCGCCAATTATAATTTTAATTTAGCAATAGTTTTACCCCTTGGGGTTAAAATATTGCTGTTAATTGAGCATTTGGTAAAATTTGAAGTTATTAATAGAAAGAATTTCTTATTTTTCACATGTGGAGCTGTTTGATGTAACAACAGTGGGTGTTTGGAATTTGAAAAATACTACTTTATATTACTACTTTACTTTATATTATGTACGAAAAACGATCACATTCCCAAGAATGGGAGTCAGGCAGGCGGCCGGCCGTTAAAGAAAAGGGAGTACGTGGAAGAGAATGTCGAGTCAAGATAGAAAGATGGTGATGTATACTCGTACATATATATATATATATATATATATATATATATATATATATATATATATATATATATATACATTAAATGTTAATATTATGTTAAATTGGTTTGTGTACGCTTTAAGAACTCAAAAAGTTCTGCATCGAATGAGCTCAAATTTTGTCACGATATACAGCACGCTTCAGAGTTGGTTTTTATATACTTTTTTGCAACCATATAATGTGCCACAGCGAAGCATGACAGGGTACTGCTAGTTGTTTATAAAAATGGTAGTGAACTTACGAAAGCCGGTGTGAGTGGCGCTATCATAGACCCGATCCTGCCTATCATAGATGAATAGGCGAACAGACTATGTCGATGCTTAGTAGGGTATAGCTCCATTGTGTATATGTACACTGAAGACATCACCATCGCAATCGAGAATTTCGCTATAAGGTATACTGTCAGTGATACTGCATACAAATCTAAAAATGAAAACATAATAATTTGAAATTTATGATTTTTTTCAGTCATAAAGAAGTAAGCTTATTACGTTGAATTATAATTACGTAATATATTTAAGTCTGTTCTTATAACAACGCTCCATGTGGAGATCCTAAGACTTAGAGTTTTACATTGCGATTGGCGAATGTGAAAGCAAATAAACAAATTCACACTATTGTATTATACAGAGTAAATATTGTGCGACAGGGCATCGACTGATTAGGAAATACTCAAGAAACTCGAAATAAAAACAACATAACAAATGAAAATGGGAACTTACCTGGAGGCATAAATATATATGCAATTTGACATGCAGCACATATCCAAAAAGCACCAATCAGTACTGGTTTTCTTCCTATCTTACCCATCAGGAATACTGCCGTCCAAAAGCCAGGGATCTCAACAGCCGCTACAGCCACAAAATTCAGATATTTGTTGCCAGACATGTTCACTGCGTTTATGGAGAGTCCGTAGTAAATAAAAGTAGTCGTGATCCACCACACCGGCGAAACTATGCAACGAAGCAACACTCGCTTGTGTTGAAATACTTTTACTATTAGCCATGGCTCCTGTCCCACCATCTCTTCTTCTAATCTCTTATTCCTCTCTTCTTCCAAAGAAGTATCCCGTAATGACTTCAAGGACTTCTCAGATAACAGTGTACCATTCGTTTTTGCCACTTTCTTCAACAAAGCTTCAGAGTCGTCAAAACGACCTTTGCTCATGTACCAACGAACTGATTCAGATATGAGCCAAAAATATAAGATTGTGAAAAGCTGAGGAACGTATAGTATTAAGGTTAGATACCTCCAGTTTGGCACGCCCCATGCAATTAAACCCATCAAAACTTGACCGATGGCGAAAAAAGTATCAATTGAGGCGCTACCTATTACTCGATACTCGGGGCCCATTAGTTCCATAACTGTGAAAAGAAAACCTTATGAGTTACAGTGTCAAAGATAAGTTACCTATCCTGTACCTATCCTAAACCTATCTGATTTTATAGTATCTTTTATCTATACTTATAAAATTGTTATGTTGGTTTGCGTTCTGCACCGAGCTCGAATTTTGACACGATATACAAAAGGCTTCAAAGACCTGTTTTATCTATTTTTTGCAACCACAATGTTTGATTTGATCTGGGTGTTTGGTGATGTATTTAGGAGTATATCGGTTGCCTAGTACGGGACAAGCTCTGCTTAGTTAGGGTTTAGATGGCGTTGTAGGATTGCCTTAAAATATTATTTATTTATTAATGATATAATTAATTAATGTTATTAATTTTGAAATGCCCGGTGCTAAATTACTTTTTTAATAAAAATAAAATAAGTTACATCTTGCATGCGTTTTTACATTTGGAATTGAACATATATTTTTACAAATAAAAGACTAATTAACTGTGTTTTTTTTTTTAAATTTTGTCCCTTCCTTTTCAATTTTTATGTTTAAAATAGATATTAATACTCACCAAGAATATATATACTTGAAAAGCCACCGGACCCAAAAACAGCTTCAAGAAATTCAAATAGCATGAATCCCATGTATGTATTTGTCCAAAATCTGATGAGGCCAAGCCATCCTGTGTTGAAGGCATTGATGGTGAGGGCAACACGGCGACCCCATCGATCTGACACGTACCCAGTTATAGGAAGCGCAATAAAAGTACCAAGAGTTCTGATGGTACCTATTAATGATCTGCTCCATTCATCGCAGGCCAGATCAAACTGTGCACAAAAAAAAAGTTTAAACTTCTATTTCTTTAAATAGGAAGAAAACAGGGGTCACAAAAAGGGGTCCCGTGAGTAATGAAAAGTTATCTTAAGAATATTATAAAGGCTAATGTTTCCATGGATGTTTGTTACTTTTTCACGTTAAAACGGCTGAACGGATTTGGATGAAAACGAGAAACTTGGCACAAAGATAGATTATAGTCTTAAATAGCACATATGGCAAGGTACAGTGAAATTAGTCTCGAGAATATCTCTTGCATATGTAGTGGTGTGTATATTACTCAGATCTTAGAGCGCGTTTCCACTATATCGTTCTGGCCTATACAAAAATGTTTCCATATCCTAACATTACTATTTAATTTTATACTTATCCCTAGCAACACTCTGCTTTTTGTTTTCAATAAAAACAAGTTTTTATTTTAAAGAAAAAGGTTTTGACTTTATAAAAAAAAAGGTGTGTGTGCGATTCACACACGATAGAAGTGAAACTTCAAAGAGGAGAGACCGATATTTAAATTTTTTTTTTCCTTTCATTTAGTTATTTTAAAACTCCGGGGGGTCTACGGGGGGGTCAAAATTTTTGTTATTTTTGGCCTAGGACGCACCGTTGCCGAGATATATCAATCTGAAGCAAAAAATCGTCACTTGATAGTGGAAAGTGGAAACAAGCACAAAACCAGAATAAACCAGTTTACGCTGTCCGCAGGTGCCACTACTACAAACGCAAAAATTTCTCCAAGCTAATTTACCTGTACAACAACAGCCGCAGGTAACACCACGTGGCGCGGCTAGTAAAAAGTAAAAGTACTGTCCTGGCTGTCTGGCCTATCGGTTTAGTGGTTACTGTGGTAATGATCCAGATTGCTGAGCCATTTTGTTCGAATAGCATCCAGGACAAACAACATGATGAGCACGATCATTTGTTCTGTGTCTGTTCTGTATACTTAGTATAATAGAATGTTTACTTTAGAAATAGTGGTGGTGGCTTGACCTCAATGGCCTTGGTCGTATTACGTGAATGGGCCTAAAATTTTACTCAACCAAATGCCTTGGTAGTTTTTTGGGTGAAGCGACCTGTCATACACATCACCATCATCAATAGCCTTTAAAAGTCCACTGCTGGACATGGGCCTCTCCTTAGAAAGGAAGTTTTGGCCTACTTTACTCATTAGGGTATATGGTTTGTTTCAAGTGTTTCTTCTTTTTGCAGTGATGTTGGGAAAAGGGGACGTTACTATATACTACTAATCTATATTTATACATAAATACTATAAATACATACGTTAGTATATACATACGCTAATTGTCAACTATTAGAGACAGATAATGCTAATGATAATGCAAAAATGTATCAATCCCGAAAATCCCGGGATTCATTAAATATGATCCCGAAAATCCGGGACTAAAATATGACCGGGATCCCGGGATCGAATCCTCTAGTTACACGGTATACTTATATTTTATAAACTTACGTCATAAGCCACTGAGTCCGTATTTTCATAGACGAATTTCTCGCAATACTCCACAGTTTTTGTATCGAAGAGCGTGCTAGGACACTCTTCGCTTTCCATCCGCTGCAGCATTGCAGTTGTGTTAGCAAAGCGTTTACAGTTATCAAATAAACCAGATCCGACTGCCGGCACAGCATTGGGTAACCAAGGAGGTGACCATTCTCTCCGAGCTCCTTCACATTCCGGAATTACACATCTAAAATTAAATTTAATCATTTAATTCATTAAAGTCAAAATTATCTTAAGTTCATGAAAAAATATATATGTTTAAATACGTCTTTCATGTAGACTGAAGAGTCACACAATATCAACATTTTGTTATGTCAAATATTTAGCAAAATAAATCCAACCCGATATATGCCTTTTTTATTGTATTTTTTTTACATGAACCCCTTCGAGCCGTCACCCGAACCAGGTTTGTGGTGGGGTGGTGTGTCGGAATCGGACTGACTAAAACCATACAGTGTGCCAATCCGCGCCTGATGAAATAAGGGGATTCAGGTACAGCTGTTATTAAGACATCCGGTACCCATTATATGCCTGTGCTGATCTACAACCGCCCGTTTTCAAGGGGTTGAGCCTTAGGAGAAGAAAGGGCAAAAAAACCCACGGCCACTCTTTTTAGGGTTCCGTACCTCAAAAGGTAAAAAAGGAACCCATATAGTATCACTTTACTGGACCTTGTTTTTAACCAAAATTGACAATTCTAGGTCAACCGGAAGTACCTTATAGGTTTTGGGTCGAAAACCTATAAGGTAGTCCCCGTTGAAATTTGGCAAAAAGCAAGGTCTTACACCACAAATAAAGGAAAAATGCCAAAATTATAAAAAAAAGTTGAAAATTAAGTTAAACTAAAAAAATTGAATAAATAAATTATAAACAGAATAGCCCACATTACATGACCACTTAAGAAAACCCTGTGTTAAATTAATCTCAAGCATTTTTGTCTTCTACGTAATCAACAAAGAAAGAGAGAAGAAAAGGAAAACTTGAAACAAACCCTTTTTTTTTTTTTTTTTTTTTTTTTTTAACGTGTGGAAATCCCCTCGGACCGTCACCCCTCCGGGGTTTGCGGCGGGGTGGTGTGTCGGACTCGGACCGACTAAAACCACACGGTGTGCCACTCTGCGCCTGTAACAGGAGGGATCCGGGAACAGCTGTTGTTAAGACATCCGGACCCCTCCTAGCGCCAGCCCGCTCCTGGTGCGGGCTCCGTCTCAGTGTTGTTCCTCTCTATAGGCGACGTCCGGCACACGCGGACGCCGCCCCCTCGCGGCTGGCCAACTAATGCGGGTGGAGGGGAAACCCACCCCGTCCACCCGCGGCCACACTCAGGGCGGCATGAGGCTGTGGTAGGCGGGCCTCCGCCGCCCGGTTCGCCGGCGGCGGATCGGGTCCGAGTGGAGGTCGTCCTCCCGGGCCCTCTCCGCCGCCTCCTTCCGCGAGATTACTACCTCGCAGAAGGTTGCGACCGCGGTAAAACAACTGTCGCTACCGGCCATGGAGCGTACTACGGCCGGTAGCGAGAGATCCACTCCGATGACTGCAGTGAGGGCCCGGCGCTGCGCCGCCCATGCGGGGCAGACCGCCAGCGTGTGCTGGGCCGAGTCCTCACTGCAGTCGCAGTGGTGGCAGGCGGGACTCAGTTCCCTCCTAGCGACCGTGTGCAGGTACTTTCCGAAGCAACCATGCCCGGAAAGCACCTGCGTCAGCCGGAAGGAAAGGGTCCCGTGCTGCCGCCCTGCCCACTCGGCGATGACCGGCTGGAGAGCCTCCACGGCGGCAAAGCCAGCGCGTGGAGTCTCCAGCCGGAACGACCAACGAGCCATCGTGGCTCGGCGAGCGGCTTCGCGCCACTCGCGCACATCCTCGGGCGGAGGGCGAAATCCGCTCTCCGCCCGGAAGTCAGCCACTCGCCGATAAACTTCGGCGAGCACTTCCGCCTCCAAATCCCACGGGGGAGTTCCGGCCAATGCGCATGCCACCTCCGTCGAAACGGTGCGGTAACCGCGTATGGCTCTGACCGCCATTACCCTCTGAGGGCGCCAGAGGCGTACCCTATTCTGGGCGGTCAGAGCCGCCGCCCACACCGGTGCACCGTACAGTGCCATTGACCGGACAACCCCCGTGTACAGCCGTCTTGTCGCGACGCTGGGTCCACCCATATTGGGCAAAAGTCGCCCTAGGGCAGACGCAGCGCCGACCAGCTTTGGAGCAAGCTGTCGGAAGTGCTCGTCGAAGAGCCACCTCCCGTCGAGGATCAGGCCCAGATATTTCATCTGGGCCCGAACCGGTACGAGGACCGAGTTGACCACTATTGAGGCGCCAGGGGGTGGACCACGACGGGGCCCATGGAATAACAGGGCCTCCGTCTTATCTAGGGCCACCCGTAAGCCCAGTGCCTCAATGCGCCCGACCACCAGGGAGACTCCCCCTGTGGCCAGGCGCGCCGCCTCTTGGAAGTTTGCCCCCCGGGCTGTCACGAGGGTATCGTCTGCGTAACAGATTACACCCAGCCCGGGGGGGAAATCGGCGCGAAGGGCCCAGTCGTACCCTATGTTCCACAAGAGGGGTCCAAGAACAGACCCCTGTGGAACACCGCACGACATGGGCCGACACCTCAGATTACCTTCTCGGTCCTCGTACACGACGGTACGCTCCTCTAAATAGTCTGCCACCAGCCGCCTCAGGTACTTTGGCACCCCATGATAGTGGAGTGCTTCCCTGATGCAGCTGAATGGCAGACTATTGAATGCGTTGGCGATGTCTAATGACACCGCCAACAGCACGCCGCCACAGCTCACGGCCTCTTCGGTCACGGCCCTCAGGCGCAACACGGCGTCGACTGTCGAACGCCCCGCCCGAAAACCAAATTGGGCGTCCGACAGATCGGGGCCCACCTCGCAGAGGTGCCGGACGATGCGGGCAGAAAGAACCCTCTCAAACAATTTGCCCGCCTCGTCCAGCAGCACGATGGGCCTATAGGCCGCGACCGAATCGGCAGGCCGTCCCGGCTTCGTCAGTAGGACCAGCTTCCCGCTCTTCCAGCACTCAGGGAAGCGTCCCGACGCCAAGCTAGCGTCGAACACCTCCCCGAGGCGGTCTGCCATGTGGTTGAGGGCCAGGGCCAGCACTCGGGCCGGTACCCCGTCTGGCCCAGGGGCGGTGTTCTTGGAACGGATCCGTAGAACAGCCGCCCCTACCTCCGAATCCCGGACGGGCGGAACATTGTCCTCCCCGTGCTCCCCGTCGTCTCCGGCCAGGGAGGCCATCGACGGGGGAGTGTGTTCCGCTCGTTGTGGGAAAAGGCCCTCAACCACTTCTCGCAGGAAGCTGGGCTGGAGAGTCTCCGTAAGGGGGGGGGCCCGACGCGCGGAGCTTTTGTCGCACCGCGCGGTAAGGGCGACCCCAGGGGTCACGATTAAGACCCTCCAGCATCTCCTGTCTCTTTTCCTCTTTGGCGCGGCTAATGGCCAGCTTCAGAGTTTTCCGAGCCCGTCGGTACTCCTCATGAAGCCGGTCCTCCTCACCGTCTCCACGGTGACGCCGCCGACTGCGCGTGTAGGACCTCCGGGCACGTGTACAGGCCGCACGGAGATCCGCCAGCTCCTGGGACCACCAGTAGACCTCCTTCCTTGGAGGCCGACGACCTCGAACGCGGGGCATGGCCGCATCGCATACATGCGTAATCGCATCGCGAAAGCGGCCAGCCCCCACGTCGACCTCCTCGGTCGGAGCCTGAGGAGACAGCCACGAGTGAATTATGGCTGCCTCCTCTAGTAGGTCCCGGTTCAGCCTGGCAACAGCCCACCGCGGAAAGCGGGATAAACGCCGCGCCACGTGACCCCTACTGGAGTCCTGGGTCCGGGAGAGCTCAAATCGGATATACAGGTGATCCGAGAGCGTCTCAACCTCTTCCAGGACACGCCAGTTCCTTACTCGTGCGGCGAGGGCAGGGGTAGCGAACGAGAGGTCCACTATCGACCCCCCCTGCTGTCGCACGCACGTGTTGGCGGAGCCTCTGTTTAGAAGACAGAGGCCCACCGAGGCCGCCCACTCCTCTACGGCCTCGCCCCTGGCGTCCGTCCTGGGGGAACCCCACGCAATGGACTTTGCGTTGAAGTCCCCCAGCACAAGGACGTGCCCAGACGCTAGTCGCCGTATCGAGGTCTCCAAGCTGGTCAGGAAAACCTCGAAGTCGTTCAAACTCCGGTTGGGGGAGAAATAGACACCATATATGGTGATCCCCCCCCACTCGACGGCAACATATCCAGTGCCCTTGTCTCTTAGCGACAAGGGCGGGGAATGAGCCGTCGTGGAACCGACGACTGCCACGGAGCCGTCCCAGTCACCCATCCAGTTTGGACGGGGAGGGACAGAATAGGGCTCCGCGACTACGGCAACACCTATCGACCACTGTGCCATGGTTTGCAGGAAGAGATCCTGCGCCGCGGCACAGTGGTTCAGGTTCGTCTGGACCAGGAGGTTGGAGACTTGATCCATTACTGGATCGTCTCTACAACCTCCTCCATGGGCGACGACGTCGACGCACGAACTACATCGGAGGCAGCCTGGGTCGACTGGCTAACCCCCGACGTCTGCCGAGAACTGCGGGGAGGCTTGCAGCCTCTCTGCCCCATCTGGTGATTGGCGGGCTTATTGCCCGCCGCACACACTGGGCAGTGAGGGGCGGCAGAGCATTCTGCCGCCTTATGCCCCGGTTGACCGCAGCGGAAACACAGTCCGCCGCAGTCAAAACAACTGTCGCACTTGACGCGCGTGTGTCCCGTGGCCAGGCATTTAAAACACCTCATCGGTCTCGCCGCCAGGACTGTGATCCTGGCGCTCACGAAACCGATGAGCAGCCTGCCGGCGTCGGCCAATACTTTGGCCGACGCTACGGGACAGCTGACCCACACGGCGCCAAGCCCTCCTGGACCGGGGCGGATGGTGCCGACCCTGACGTTGTCCGCGCTGCAACCCGTCTTCTCCCGGATTACAGCGCGGACATCTTCGGCCGTCACTGAGTCGTCCAGGCCCGAGATGCGCAGTTCCGCGCACTTGGTAGGCCTGGCGACCCTGACACCATCAGTGGCCGCAAATATTCCCCGCAGCCTATCGGCGAAGGAGTCCGCCGTCTTTGCGCCTTCAGCCCCAGGGAACTCGAGGACTCGAGCTCCCGTCTGGGCGAGGCGCATCCTGACCCCCACCGTTCCAAAGTCGCTAGCGAGGCTATCCCGGGCCTTTTTAAACACGGCCGCGTAGGACAGCCCGCCGTCCGCCGCCTCCGGGGACACGGTCACCACTACAGCCGCGGTTTTGGGCGGCTGCAGCTTCCGCGGCCTCTTTGTGGAGGCCGTTGCCACCGGTGGCGAAGGCTGGGCCTGGGCTGCTTTTTTGGCAGCCTTTTTGGCCCGCCTTCGGGACTTCTTGGAGCCCCTCGCCTCCTGCCAACCCTCGTTGGAGGGGGCAGGTGCGGAGGGGCCCGGCAGGGGTGTCGGAGTGGGGAGCGGAGGGAATGCCACTCCGCTCCTCGGCGCCGTTTTAGGCCCCGTCTTGGCCGGCGCCTGGGGATGTGCCTTGGCCGGCGCCTTAGCCGGTGCCTTGGCCGGCGCCTGGGCCGGTGCCTTGGCCCCCCTCCTCGGCTTTTGGGGAGCCGATGGAGTCGGGGCAGACGCCGCCGCCGCGTAGGAGACGCGGCCTCCCACTACGGGGAGCGCGGTCGGAGCGGCGGCCTTAGGCCGCTGTGTCGACGCGAGCGGGGGGCGCATACTCGGCGCAGGAGGCAATCTCGCCTCCAGGCCAGCCAGGCGTCCGTCCAGCATATTCCCAACTGCGATGAGGATTTCTCGCAGTTGGGAGTCAAATGCCCCTGAGTTGGTGGTAGGGGCAGGCTGGGACGCGGACGGGGCTTCCCGCTCGGGGAGGTTCGCCTGGAAGCGGGCGAACTGAGCGCTCAGCTCGTTCACCCGCTCCGTCAGCTTCTCGTTGGCCACCTGCAGGCGAGAGACGTCGCCCGCTAGGCCCTCCACGACCTCCGACAAAGCGGAGGAGGAGTCCTTAAGGGCCCTCACAAACGAGCCCTTAAGGTTCACGGATTTGGTGGCCACCTTGTTGATGACGGCCACCGCCGCTTTCGCCCTCTCCTGCACGGACACGGGAGCCTGGGGGGCATTTCCCCCCACCGGCTCCCGAACCTTGAGCAGGAGATCCGTGATCTCCTCCTCCGCTACGGCCTCGCCGTCCACTCGTACGCTCCTGTAGGACTCCGCGTTTGAAAACGCGGAGCCTGACGGGGTCGAGACCGAGGCCGAGGCCGGTTTACGCGCCCTCCCTCGGCGGCTGCTTGCCACCTTTGGTGGCATCATTTCGCCGGACGTGTCGGTCCCCTCTTCCCTGGAGCGTCCGCGTTTCCTGCTGTCGCTTCGTTCCGCCTCCATGGCCTCCGCGCCATCCGACGAAGCGGCGGATCCGGAACGCAGCCGATCCGATGCTCTTCGGCTCCCAGAGACCAGAGTCAGACTGACCTCTGGGAGCCCCATCGAGATAGGCGTTCCTGACACCATCTCACCCTCAGTGGACGACCCATCCGCTCCACTGTTCTTCTTCTCCCTCCTTGCCTTCGTTGCCGTATCCGTTTGACTTGCCTTTTTCCGTTGAGTTTGGTTTTCCGATCGTTTGTCTATATTTTTAACATGTTCCATAATAATCCCACGAGTGGGGGAGAACTAAAGGTCCACCCGGGCAGAGATCCCCCATTACCCGGGCAAGCGTAAGTTTTTAACCCAACCGAGGGGTCCGCAGGTACCTCGGCTTGGAGTGCGCTCGCGACTGAACTTCCCATCAGCCATGCATCCCCTGGCCACGCACCAGAACACGGGATTCGGGGAATTTTTTAGAGAGGTTATCTTCCTCGCGGTCCGGGCGGTTAAGCCAAGACCCTCGCCCCCGATCAGAGCCGCGAGACTTAACCACAGCGCTCTTCTCGGGATTGCGATATGCCGACGGTTGACAGGGAGACTACGTCCCCCTGCCTGCTCGGTGGTAGTGTGAGTACACGCCGAGCCCGTCCTCCTTTCTCCACCGCTATCAGCGGAGAAACTGTGGCCCCTACAGGGCCCCGCCATCAGGTTTTTTACCGAGGTTTCCTCCTCCATGCTCCGAAGAGCGAAGAGCCAGCAGGGCAACCGGCAGACACGCCCACCCTGCTGGACCAGGCCTTGCCCGAGAGCCGATGAACGGCTGCCTCTTCTGCTAGAATATTGGCCGCTGGCGATAATCCTCTCCTCCAAGAGGACAAGGAGGAAACAGTACCATCGCCAGCGTTTCCAGGGTGCACCACGGGGAGGTTTTCTAGCCAGCACCCCAAACCCTATATCAACCCATCTGGCCAGTGTGGTATAGCAAACCAAAACCTCCTTTCTAAGGAGAGGCCTATGTCCAACAGTGGACTGTTATAGGCTGTTGATGAATTAACAATCGAGTAATAGGCTTTGTGACACATGATATGACACAGCCTACGCATCATTATGGATTTAAATTTGTTTATACTCGTACATCATCAACAGCCTTTAATAGTCCACTGCTGGACATAGGCCTCTCCTAAGAAAGGAAGTTTTGGCCTACTATTGTTTACATAACTCTTATACTACTAGTTTATACATACATTTTGTATATTATTTAGGATTTTATTTTAAAATCGGACACATTCACCTTGAAATTATTGTTTATCTCTTGGAGTTTAGACTCAGTCAGGTATAACAAGTTTTTTTCTATTTCTGGTATTTATAGAATGTACATCACTTATTTTCAAGAAAATATCTTTGTTTTAATGAACATAATTAAATTTTCATATATATATATATTGATATGCCACTGTCATTATGTTTTTTTCTTTAAATTTCTGCCTCAATAGAATAAGGATTACCTAAATTATGAAATGCTTGAATTGCTCTCTTTTGCGGCACAAAAATTGTTTGAATGTTGGTGGCAGTCCCCAATAGTAGAATACCGTACGTCACTATGGACGACCGGATGGCGTAATGGTTTGTGTAACGGACTGCTATTCCAAAGGTCGCGGGTTCGATTCCCGCTCAAGTCAAATATTTGTGTGCATGAACATTTGATGTTTGATTTGGTCTGGACGTTTCTATGTATAATATGTATATATTTACAAAAAAAAAGTATATATGTATTTATATCAGTTGTCTAGTACCCATAGTACAAGCTCTGCTTAGTTTGGGACTAGATGACGTTGTGTGAATGTGGTACAATATTATTATTATTACTATGCTGTGAAAATAACTGAAGTAAAGAAGTCGTGTCTGTATCAATATCAGTCAACTCTGGGCTTTTTGTTACTGCATTTGCTGAGCAGAGTCTACTCAATAATTGATCAATATGTGAGCCCCACTGTAGCTTAGAATCTAATGTTATTCCCTAAAATGTCGAAATATTCACAAGATCTAACTCGACATCTTTAAGCACCACAGTGGTTTTCACTGGTTTGACGCATATACACTTAGTTTTTTGTCCGTTTAAAAGCAAATTGTTATCGTCAAACCAATTAACAGCTTTTGGCGCTGTTTACGTCTCTAAAATTAATAGTGGGCGTTTAAGTCTTAATAATAGTGATGTATCATCTGCAAACAACACAATCTGGTGATTCTCCTTGACAAGGTGCTGTAAATCGTTAGTTACAAGGATGGCTCGAGAATAGAACTTTGTGGAACGCTTATTTCTACCACAGCACCCGGAGACCGCTCACCATTAATATAAACTTTCTGTATCCAGGATAACTTAACAAAAGTATAACTTAGATATGAAATAAGAAGTTCCAGTGCTTAATTTTTGATACCACAGTGCTGTAATTTTCTGATTAGCGTTTCATGAACAACGCAATCAAAAGCTTCAAGCTTTAATATCAAAATATTTACATACGACTTACATTAACACGTGAAGAGAAAATTCTTTGCACCTTTTTAAGAAAATTTTGCTTACTCAGAAATTTAAAGTGTGGAATACTTAAAATTTAGTTTATATGTAATAGTGCAAAAACCTAATCAATATATAAATATCTCATGTGTCGGTGTTTGTGGCCGCACTCCTCGGAATCGGCTCAACCGATTTTAATGATAATTTTGTCAGGTACGAGACACAGGTCGTAAATTTTTTTTCACCCTCCTACTCTAATCCCTCCATTTGTTAAATCACAATTTTAGTAGTTTTGTATTTATATGACAGAACGTTTGCCAGGCCATCTAGTGTATTATAATTATTATACAGGATAGGTAACAGTAAAAAAGAAATATCAACGTATTTTACATATCTACAAACTTTAATATTATAATTATATAAAAACTAAAAGTTTTTTATTGCTTAAGCACGTTAATCATCTATTTAACATTACGGCACAGCCTTTAAGAGCGGGACAGTGACAGTAAACCTGAATAAATCTACTAGAATAGTAAAATACTTGAATAAAACTTACCTCGTATTAATTCGAGCAGTAGTAAACACATATTCAGTTGCACCCCACGATGCAAATATTGCTATGATAGCCGCTAGACAAACTGTCTTTAACTGAAACTTGCCGAATTGACCAATTTCTTTCACGAAAATGGTGTCTAGCGTTACTTTTCCTATTATTTCGGTTTCGGGGTCTTCATTTTCTGCATTATTCATTTTGACGACAAACACACTGACCACGTGCGTACGGAGCTACACCAAAACAACAAATAAGTCACTCTGTGTTTATCTATTTTATTAATAGACAAAAAGTTTTAAGACATTACCTTTATATATTTGTTATTAGATTGTCTATTGAATTTTGATTAATTTTATCTAATCGTGTGCAACACTTTTTAATAATCTGTGGTGACCGATTTACAAAAGAGGATTGAACACAACACGTCATTGTCTTTTTGAGTTGATAAAATCCAGATAGTGACGGATTAAAAATACGGAGTGTCACCACCCCTATTCTCTCGTAAGAGAGTAGATATATTCTTTGATCCCGTGGGTGTGGTAAGAGCCGACTAAGGGAGCAAACTACACAGGACAATAACAGTACTGCAAAGAGAAGGAAAACTTGAAACAAACCCGATACCAACCCGTCTGGTCAGCGTAGTATTGTAGGCCAAAATCTTCTTTCTAAGTAGAGGACCAGCAGTGGACCATTAAAGGCTGATGATGATAATCATGAATTTTTAAACTTCTTCATATAAGTTTTAAAATAATTCGCATCATATTGAACATAGCATAAACGAAAGAATTAGTATGGGCGTAGTCAGATACATATACCTACGTATATGATTCTGAATGACCTGTTGGCCAGGGGTTACTGACCCTGACGGCTAAACCAGAGATCGTGGGTTCGTTTCCCACCCAGGAAAAACAGTTGTATGATGAGCACGATCATTTGTTGTGTGTTGGGGTTGTAATTAATCTATAATATGTATGCTTTGACAAATATATAAGTATGTTTATCAGCAGTCTGGTTACCATAGCACAGGCTCTGCCTAGTGTGAGATCAGATCACCGTGTGTGATGTTTATTATTATGAAGTTATTATATATCTGTATATTCGTACTAAGAACTACTAAACGGATTCCGAGGCACATTTTTTTTAAATTTATGATCTAAATTTATCCAAGATAAATTAAGCGTTAAACATGGTATAACATTTTGTAACAGTTTTAAATAAATGTAATACTTATCTAAAAGTACCATACCCTCTACTTTGTCCGAATATTCGATCGAACTGCACCGATCCTGGTCACAGAAGAACTCTTCACATAATGGCAACCTCCAAGAAGTATCGAGTTTTAGGTTTAACTGCGCTTACTCCATTTTATTAAAGGTCATATATTATAGGTATATATTTAAAAAAAGTTACTTAAGAACACAGACGACGAGCTGTCGGTAGCACACACCTATTATGATTAACAGATAATGAGCACTTTATTGTAGTCTATGCTTAACTAACTCTTGTCATAAACAAGTTTATATTGTTGTTGTTTATGGGCATGAATCAGTGCACATATCGTATTCACACGCAATAAAATATTACTGATAACAGAACCAGACACCCCCACTCTTAATGCATGAATTGCGTGCTATTGATAAAAACTTGATTCTCCTTTTTTATGAACAGCCATACATTAGCTCATTGGCATGTCTTAACAAGCTTTAATTACGCCGTCTGTATTTCTGGGTCGTCCGTTGACCTTCTGTCTGAAGCTTAAAAGTGTAGAACTAGAAAACTGTAGGTAATTTTGTATATTTCATATGTTCTTTACATCAACATCATCATTATCAACAGCCTTAATTTATCCACTGCTGGAAATAGGCCACTCCTTAGAAAGGAAGTTTTGGTCTACTATACGACACTGGCCAGACGGGTTTGTTTCAAGTTTTCCTTCTCTTTGCAGTGCTGTTGTCCTGCGTAGTTTGCTCCCTTAGTCGTTTCTTACGACACCCACGGGATGAATAGAGGTGGTGACACTCTGTATTCTTAATCTGTCACCACAACGACAACCGGGACTTGTGCCGCTCATGGACACTTGTACGTCAATAGTAGTCATCGAAGTTATTGCTACTTTTAAATCATCATCAATGGTCTTAGTAACTGCGATTTCAACTGTGATTGTGATTTGAAAATAGACAAAGATAAATGCCATCAAAATACCGAAAAGGAATTTTGATTGATTTTGATGTAGTATTGTTTATATAGAAATCAATCAAAATTATTTTTATATGATATGTCGTTTTGTGTATTAGTAACAGGTGTGATTATATGATTTATAAGTCATATAATTTATCACAGGTGATTATAATATCATTCCATCCCTAGTCAAGAGTCACAGGTACTTGGCCGGCCCTAAGTGCCTCCCCTGTCAGAATTACAGCGGAGAGCTAAGGGCGGTTGTTGACCCGGATTCATCCCGTTTATGAATATTGAAAGTGAGGAATTAATTGCATTACTTTAAATAATTAAGTATAAATATCTATATATTTAAATACATTTGAATGATTAAGTATTAATATCTATATATTTAAATATATTTGAATAAATAAATAAGTATAAATATTTAAATATATTCAAATAAATAAGTATTAGTATGCATAGGAAATTACTTGCCTTGACTGGTTTCATCAACGCAGAGATTCAACCGCTGGGGCTACAAACTTGAAATTTTGAACTCATTAACAAAGAATTTTTGGAAATAAGGGATTATTTCCAAAACGGTTGTATAAAAATTCGTCATTGTTAAAGTTAGAAATAGAATATTTTTATAAAACACACAGTTAGTGTCCGAGATTTTCAAGAAGTGATTAAGTGCTCTCGAATGTATTGCAAGTTGGGCGATTTAATCATTATTTATTATACTTATTTGCTTATTGAGTAATAATAGTTTATAAATCGCAAACTTAACAAAGAATTTATTATTTGTAAAACAGTTAGTTTACTTTTTAGATAAGAGCATTATTGCAGTCAGACTTATAAGACATAGATATCATTAACTTTGCGCAACTCACTTTGTACACATGAAAGAACGTAAACAAATAGTCCACTATATGTAAGTCACCGTCAGCTTTGAGTTCATTTAACATGAGAGCGTCTAAACTGGGACTTATAAGACTTAGGATTACTAGACTAGGACATTGTAAGAAATGACTGTCTGAGTCTATACTAGACATTTCATAGTTTTCGTCACTGGGAGAGTCAAAACTAATTCATCAATGATTACTAAATGACTTACAGAAAGAAACAATAAATGCCTAATGATTCGGGTTATTCCAATACTTACACAGACAGAACTCTTAAAAAAAGTTGCTTTAGGCCCCTGTCTGTACATTGCATCGTCACTACGGCCTGATTTTGCTAGGGTGACAGTTGGCCTCACTTGTCATCCCAAGGCCTACGCTTTTGGAAGACAGAAATCGTTCAGTGACCAGCGCCTGAGTCGCCTGCGGTACCTTTCCCGGGCCTGGTACACCGGGAGAGTTATAAACCACTAGGTCGCGAGCATTACTTACTCGAAGAAGGAGGTGGTGGAGTTCCATGCGCTCTGGCTCCGTATCATGGCCGCATCATGGTACCGAGCGGAAGAATCCATACTCCGATGGACGTCACGAGGCCACGAGTCCTTGCTCTAGCCATCGCATTGGTGACACCCAAGGGTCGGCTCCTTCCGGATCAGATACAACCCGAAGCAACTCGTTTGCGTCCTATGTCACAAAAACAACATTTCCCAATCCATCTCTATCCATAGTAGGCCAGAACCTCCTTTCTAAGGAGAGGTCGATGTCCAGCAGAGGACTAATAAAGGCTGTCGATGATGATGATGATGAAGACTCCATCTGTACAAGCAATATCCTATTTCCTACAAACTTCTTCTATGACTTTACCTTTCAATCAAACCGAAATTTCCTTATCGTTAATTCCTAACGTGTCCGACTGACCGTTTGGCCCCTATTACGCAGGAAGCACCAAATTTTAGTGCATAAAGCGTAAAATATAATAAAAGCGACTAAAATAGTAACACTAGCGTTTGAAAATTACAATCTATAGTTATTTTGTGTGTGAGAAAAACAATAACATCAACACAAGTAAAAGGTATTAACAAACTATCTATCGCGATTAAAGTAATAAATCACATTATGTCCTGAAGTGCACACGTATTAGAAACTAGCTGACCCGCGCAACTTCGTCTGCGTCTCTCAGTAGCAATAAATTTTCTCCGTTTTTGAAACATTATTCATTGGTGCTCCGCTCCTATTGGTCTTAGCGTGATGATATATAGCCTATAGCCTTCCTCGATAAATGGACTATCTAACACTGAAAGAATTTTTCAAATCGGACCAGTAGTTCCTGAGGTTAGCGCGTTCAAACAAACAAACTCTTTAGCTTTATAATATTAGTATAGATAAGGTAAGCCTGTCTACTAAAGGGACTGTCAAGTATTTAATAATAATAATAAGAAAATAACTTCACACATCCCACACACCTATTATAGTATAGATTAAGTTTATCTGTGTGTATTAAGAATACCTATTCATCCTGAGGGTGTCGTAAGAGCCGACTAAGGGCGTAAACTAAGCAAAACAACCACAAGCCGACTAAGGGAGCAAACTACACAGGACAATAATAGTACTGCAAAGAGATGGAAAACTTGAAACAAATCCTATACCAACCCGTCTTGCCACCGTGGTATAGTAGGCCAAAACTTCCTTTCTGAGGAGAAGCCTATGTCCAGCAGTGGACTAGTAAAGGCTGTTGATGATGATGATGCTGATGATCCCACACACCGAGGTTTGATCCCTAACCAAGCAGAGTCTGTAGCTACTGTGGTAACCAGACTGCTGATAAACATATTTATTACCTAAATACACAGATATTATTAATGAATTACACCCAGACACAGAACAAATGATCGTGTTTATGATATACAATATTTGTCCTGGGTGGGAATCGAATCTGTCACTTAGTAGTCGGGATCACTAAGCCGGGTCGGGACCAATAGGCGCGTTCGAATTTAAATACAAACACGTGTTTGCGTTTTAATTACGTCTTAAAATTTAATTTGTGATTGGTATTGCAAAAGCTTCAGGGAGGATCAATAACATGGTCCGGGTCCTCCCAGAGTAGGATACCTATGGCCGGCCGTCGGGATGGTTTT